CAGAGGGGGTCCTAAACCCCCACCCCAAGAAAGGGCCGCATCGAAGGCATCACGGGGAGGTATAAAGGGAAGGTATGCAAAAGAAAAAATACGCCGAGGGGCTTGCCCCCCGCAGTACTGGGCATTCGAGGGCGTTTAGGTGCAGGGGCCTGGTACCAAGACTTCGTTCAGAGCTTTTTTTTTTTCCAGATTAATTGCAGGATCTAGATAATGCGTGCTGCAAAGCACTGCAGGGCGCCGGGAGTGTTGCCTAATTGCAACGAGAAATGGCCATGCCAGTTGTTATACATCTACTCTATGCGGGCTCTACACCGTTTTTACAAGTCGTTACAGTCTATCGTCACAGCCAGCGTATCAGAGCCCCCAACGCACAACGTCAACCCATCCTCTCGGCCTCCTCGAGCAGCTTCTCGACGCTGAACCTCGGATCCGCCGCGGCGAACCACTCGAGCAGGCGCCGCCTCTCGACAGCCCTCTCGAGCCGCTGCGGATCGGGCTCGCCGCCCTTGGCCTCGAGGTCCCAGCCGCCCGTAGAAGCGCTGCAGGCACAGAAGCAGCCAGCGGGGCGTCCTCGACGGAGGCGCCGCGGCCGTCGACGACCTGGCCCTGCATCAGCACGAGGCCGGCCTCGGCGTCGCGCAGGTCCGTGTAGTGCGTGACGGTGGTGTGGGGCTGGGCGAACTCGCCGCGGGCCTTGAACTCGGCGAGCTGCGTGAACATGACGGTCGCCGTGCGCGTCGCGGCGTCGAAGACCCACTGCAGGAAGTGCATCTCGGCGCCCTGGTCGGGGCGCGGCACGGGCAGGACGAACTGCGGCGCGCGGCGCGCCAGGGCCTCGATGGCTGTGTAGGTCGGCGACGGGATGACGGCGCAGAGCGTGTTGGGCGTGTGGGCGTGGCGCAGGCGCCAGATGGCTGTGAGCTCCTTCTCCGGCAGCGCGGCGGCCTTTTCGAGGTCGAGAATGTCGCCGAGGGGCTTGACGCCCGAGGCGGACTTGGAGGGGGCGGACTTGGCGGCGGCTGCTGCTGGTGGTGCCCCTGCTTGTGGTGCTGCTGGCGCTGCTCCTGTTGCTGCTGCTGGCTGAGGAGGCGGGGAGGAGGAAGGGCTCGGCGGCGGCGTGGGCAGCGGAATCTCGATCGTCGCCTGTTTCTTGAGCTCATCGATGCGCTCGGCGTAGGCGGCCCTGAGATCGTCGACGGACTGGTGGCCCTCGAGACGGGCCTTCTGGTTGAGCTTCTCGCGGTACTTGTCGGCAAGGGCGCGGCGCGGCTGCGTCGTGGCGAGGAAGCGCACGTCGTGGACCTGGGCCCAGCGGCGCTGGTTGGCGGCGCGGAGGGTGCGCGTCGACGAGGTCAGGAGGTTGCGCAGCGCGGAGGTGCGACAGGACGCCATGGTGGATGCGGGACCAGCTTTGGTGGTCTGGGTCGTCTTCGGATGGTTGAGTGTCCAGAGGGGATGCTATGTTGAGTGTGCTCGTGGGACCAAACTGGGGCTCTCTCACAACCATGTTGAAGCCTTACATAAGCAGCCTTCTGTGGTGTTGGCCCTTCGCACGTGGTCGTAGCCTTCCTGTCATCCTTTGATGAGAGAACCACCTCTGCATCATCAATCCAGGACAATTCCGTCGGCAGAAACACCAGCTCTGGAATTGGCACTGCATGAGCTGCTGATGGCGTTGTTCTCAGCATTCGTCACGAATGGGCTGCACGCTGGGTATTCTCTCCAGCCGACGCTGCATCCTTTTCATCACAGACCTGAGTAGTCACCTCAGAATACTGCAATCATCGTCCCATCGCCCATCAAGTCTGCACCGTACATCGTGTCGGCATCATGCATCAGTGTCACCAAAAGAAGCTCCCCAGATTCGAGCACCCGAGCAAAACGCCCACAAGCAGACGAACGGTCAACCCGCACCGTTTCGGCACCCCCTCGGTGCCCAAAACCCGAGCACCTTCGCGGCCCGCCGCCCCGAACCCGCGAGAGACCCCCTCCCCTCCCGTTCCGCCCAGCCCAGCAGACCAGACCAAAGAACCAAAAAAAAACCAAAAATAAAACATGGGGAAGACGGATGGCGGGCCACCCGCGAGGATCGCACCCCCGGACTTTTCGGATTTGGTGCGGAGAGGCCTGCTGCTCCTGCTGCTCTCATGCGGGGAAATTGGCCTAGGAGCAACTCTGCATCGAGGACCCCATTCAGGTGCTTGGGGTTGAGGCTCTGCGTGAGGGGGGGGTGCGAAGGTTTGGCCCTGGAGCCGGCGGGCTGGTGCTTGAACAACGTCATGTTTGGGGTCGACGTCGACTTTTCCGAACCAGCGAATCTTCACCAGACTGAACTGCGAACATCATGACACACACGCCTCACGCATCGGACAAAGGTCTTGAAATGGTTGTACAGGCTAATAACAACAGCAAGGAGATATCAACAGGTGCCGGCCGTGGCGCGGCATGGTATCACCGCGGTCCTCTCTCGCGGTCCCTTCTACTCTATCCGGGTCTTTCTCTCTCTGTCTCTCTCTCTCTCTCTCTCTCTCTCGTCAGATCGCTCCGACAGTCTACTCATCCACGCAGCGGCATCCCCGCGTCTGACCGACGCCTCAAGGCGACTCGTCCCAGGTGGGCTTCATGACCCAGCTCTCGGTGCCCTCCTTGAAGGGCACGCCGAGCTCAAAGAGGCGGACAATGACGTTGGAGAAGTCCTTGAAGAAGAGCTCGTTGTCCTTGGCGTAGGCCTTGACCGTCTTGAGGAACGCCTTGTCCTCGATGAGGGCGTAGTCGGTCGGCAGCATCATGAGCGTCTTGGTCGACTTGTCCTCGAGCTGCTTGGGGCCGTCCCACTTCTTCCACTGCCACTTCTCCTCGAGCAGCAGGCGGAAGTAGTCATTGGTCAGCACCGTGGGCGAGAAGGTCCAGGGGCCCGGTGAAGCTGCTGCTGTCCGTGTGGCAGCGGCCGAGGCCGTGGCCCCGGAAATGCGACGATCTCCTGGTCGTGAAGCCCATG